AGTTAGGAAGAAATGAGCTGGCAAGGCATGAAATAAGATGGAAGAAATGTTAATGTTTATTAAATGAAAAAATCCACTTTCAAAAGACTGCACACTATGTTACTACAACAATATGATATTCTAATAAAGGTAAAACTATGAAGGCAGTTCTTAAAAACCAGTGTCTTCTAGCAGTTAATGAAGGTGAATAGTTAGGGAACAGATTCTGGGGACAGTGAAACACTCTGAGTGACAATATAAAGGTAGACATACGTCATTATCCAAACCTATGGGATATATACAACCAACAGAAAATACACATTGCCAGTGCCACTTCATGAATTTAATGAGGGGATGAGCCATGCTGATGAGAGACACTGAAAGCAGAAGAGACCAGGCACCTGTGAGGACTGTGGTTTACAAGACACCTCTTTACCTTCCTTTCAATTTTGTTATAAATATACAACTACACTAGAAAATGACATAGGTTCCTAATGATATTGCATTAATACATAGACAGTAGACTATCTAAAACAAGGCAACTAATAATAAGCGACACCTTGAGTTTTCTGAAAATCTAATGTAAAATTGAAAAATTAAAAATTAAAGCCATAAGAAACTATAAACAGCCGGGCAGTGTTGGCGCACGCCTTTAATCCCAGCACTCGGGAGGCAGAGGCAGGCAGATCTCTGTGAGTTCGAGGCCAGGCTGGACCGACAGCCTCCAAAACAATACAGAGAAACCCTGTCTCATAAAAAAAAGAAACTATAAACAATTGTCCTCAAAAGGTAGATTTTGTCATTTATTTCTTTTAAATTTGGTAGATTTTGTATGCACGCACGTGTGTGTGTGCGTGTGTGCATGTGTGTGCATGTATGCGTGTGTGCGTGTGTGCATGTGTGTGTGTGTGTGTGTGTGTGTGTGTGTGTGTGTGTGTGTTTTGCTGGATATCAAATCCAGGATCTCAGACATACAATGCAAGCACTCTACCACTGAGCTATACTGTCAGCCCATTGGATATCCTGATAATTTTCTAAAGATCAAGTGGAATTCCATATATCCTCAATTACAAAATATTTTATTTTCATTTGTCCTCATGGTTGACATCTGTCACTCTTACCTTTGGAGAAAAAACAAAGGGCAAGATTTTCAATAGCTTGCTAATGTTGACACCAGAAAGAAGTGCTTGTTGCCTAAACATGAGAATCTGCATTTGATTGAATTTCCAGGACCCATGTAAAAACTAGATGCAGTGTGAGTATCTGTGATCTTAGTGGTCCTATAGAGAGATAGGAAGCTGGGACAAGAGAATCCCTGGATGTGCATGGGAAAGCTAGTTTGCTATACACAATGGAAAAACAACAAAGAGACCTCATCTAAAACAAGGAGGAAGTAAAGCAAGCCTGGACATGAGGTTATCTTCTGACCATGGCATAGGAATGCCTGCATTCACACACACACAAAAGCATGACCATAGACACATAAACATATATCACAATACACACACAACAACAATTATTTAATGTTTTGAACAAAGGTATCTTAATGAGTTATGCTTGCCCAGGGTGTTTGAATTCCATGTCAAGGAAACTAGATGTTCTTGTTGGGCTCCAACTCGAGACATCTGATAAGGCTTCACTCTGCCAAGCTGAGAAGCCCCTCCCCCTTACTGCATATTACAGAAGAGTCACAACCATCACTTCCATGTGACCTTTCTAGAATAATTTAGTGACAGCTAAAGCAAGCAACCACATGCATACACACCTACCCATACATTTTACCTTTCTCCTCCTGTGGGGACCATCTCCCAGCAGGGGCTTCCCTCTCAGGGGCCTAGGTGTTAGGATAGGTTTTCCTCCTCTACAAAATCCGAATGTACCCAGCTGCCTTGAGAAGCTGTAGCCCTAAGGTCATTGGTGGGGCACCAAGGTTTTTCCCTACACATCTGCAGAGGAATGGGAGCAGGTGTGAAAGCCATTGTTTTGATCACCACTCTTCAGTGCCTGTTTCTTTATAAAAGTCCCACTTCTTTGTTTCATTCCTTCTTTAAACTAAAAGCTTTTTAATTCATCAGTCTGATAGAAATGTCATATTCTCTGAACAGAGATGTTCAGACATTTAAGCTTCTAATCTACCTTTTAAAAGACTGTCTCCATATGCTTAAAAATCACTTAATTTTCATAAGTGAGAAAAAGAGCAAAATCCGAGTAATGAAAGAGGCTGGGAATTCAGCCTTGAGTGACCAACTTCACCATGTATTAAGACAGTCTTCCACATGTCCCCATCATTACCGTCCTTCTGAAGTATAAAGGATATACTTTACAGTGGTAGACTTACTAAACTAGACATGATATTAATGTCCAATAATACAGAGGACAGGCAAGAGTGGTAAATGTCCCTACAAAGCTCAAAACCAACAGTTAATTTACATTTTAAGCCCATTTAGTTGACAAATTATGAATAAAAAGTGAAACATTTACAATTTCAAAGGCTGACTATGTTTAAAGAATCTCTTAATCTATTGTAGTCAATTGCATTCCATGCCCCTCCGGTATGTGTTCAGTTCAGCTGCAATGAGGAAATGGCTACAATGGAATTGTAGATACATACTGGCATTGTTTAAAGCATTACCAAATTTCTTGCTGGCAAGATTTTAAAACTTACAGTGCCTTCATAGCCTAGTTTTTATAAATTCACTTCATGAAAAATTCTAGTGTCTTTACTCCAATTTGCATGAGAACATTGGGCATACCAATATTACCTGCAGAATTGCTGTGAGGTTATGCTAATGGCAGAAGCCACAGTAATGATACCAATTTAAAACAGAACACACTGAAAATATCTAAACATGCTAAGCATATTGCATACGAGAGGTTAAAAGCCTTTACACTGGTACCTGATATACAAGAGTTCGATTAAGGCTTTAGCTGTTATTAAATCATTTTATCCCACTTATGATGTGTACAATATGGTCATAGGAATTTACATCTGTACACAAATTGACAAACAGCCAGGTTATGTTAGTTGCATACAATCGCAAGTTATAAAGAGTCATAATTTAAACAAACACCCTGTAGTTCTTGTTTGGTCCTGAAATCTTTTACAAATATTTTTTCTGGAGAGTTAATTCCCCAAAATAAAATATTTACCCACTAAGTAAAAGTACATATATGAATAAGACACCACAGTTCTTACAGAACCACATGTTAAAAGCAGATCAAGTCACAGAGGAAACTAGGCAAGAGTTAGCATCATTTCCACTTTCTGTTTTTTCAGATGAAAGCCAAGACTTTTTCAAGCAGAGTGACTTAAAAAAACTGCCTGGTAGCTGTCTTCTAACTTGTAACTTCTTACTGGGTCTCCTGACTTGTAAGCCCCATGCTTGCATCCCAAGCTACCCAGTCACATGGATGCCCTTTCCATTTGCAGCAGTTACTATTTGGGAAAGGAACTCTGCCTGTTATCCGAAGATTTTACCTCATTTTGTCTAAGGAAGTATCTTGCTCAGTCACACACCACACATACCTTAAAACTTCACACCTAGGAAGTGAATGCCTTTGCTACAGTGTATTCGCATTCTATTTAACGTGAACCATGAACCGGGAGAGCTGAAATGTTACCTACATGTGTCTCCAGAGGCTTCCTGGGTCATGTACCATTAAGATGCACGTCTTTACTGTAGAGCTTTTTAGTAGGATATAGATACCTCTTTTAGTACAGAAACAAAACAAGAAGGAAGTCTAGCTAACCTCCTGAATTACACAGAAGTAAAACATGAGATCACCTTGCCAATTTCATTTCACAAGCGTGTTCACAAATTTCTAGTTTATTTAAAACTAGATTGTAGTTTTATTTTTTGACTGGTGAATAATTAGAAATCCAAATTTGAAAAAAGATGAATGAAAGAGCATGTATATATATATATATGTGTGTATATATACATGTGTGTGTATATATATCAAAAGATATATACATATATATATATATATCTTCCCAAATAGAATTTTCATAGCTCTAGAACAGAGTGAAAATAGGTGCCATCACCAAATGAATCAGGTCCCCTAAAATAGCACAAAAGTTTTAAACACAAAAGCTGTTATAATGTTGTTGAATTTGTTAGTTATTTGGGGCTCGGAGATCAAAAATACATTCTTTACAGAGAAGTATGATACGGTGCCTTTCCTGTCTCCTCACACCCCACCTCCACTTTCCAGAAAGCAACTGAAGAGCACAGAAGCCGAATTAGCACTTGCAAGATGAACAGATGATTGATGTAAAGGGAACTTTCATCTTCTAAAAGAATCAGACAAAGGAAGAGAATGCCGCGGAGGACCACACCATCTTATAAGGCTTCTGCAGAACCGGATGGCTTACTTGATTCCAGTTTGGTGCGTTTTTAAAAAGTCATTCAGTGCTTCAGCGATTCTTCTCAGTATCACAAGCTACTCAAATGATCCACTATCCTTTCCTTTCCCTACTGGAGTAGAGTGGCTATGTCCAAGGCTACTGGGAATTCTCCTGCCTCAGCACCAAGGCCAGAAATCGCTCCATCTCCGCGAAAAAGGTAACCCCACCTAACCACCGCCGAAAGTCCACTTTGAGACAAAGCAAGAAAAATAAGATACCTGTCTGCCAGCCACCTGTTTAAAGTCCCCTCTGCAGCCGAATGCACCAGCAACTTCTCCGAGGAGCCCCTGAACAACCGTGAGTCCCAGGCCGCCCTCGCAAGTCACAAGGAGCAGCGAGGAGGCGCGAGGAAGTGTGGGAGCCGGTCCCTCCCGCTCCCCGCGTCCCGGACCCGCAGGCTCCGTCTCGGATGCGGGGCGACAGCGCGGGTGACTTGAGGGCTACACACACTCACACACACGCGCACACGCGCACACACGCGCGCGCTCGGAAGCCGCGGGCCCTCTGGGCGCAGGGCTCCCGCGGTGGGCAGCCAGGGAGGGGACGTCGGCTCACCGCTCGGGCTGTCGCTGGACCTCAGGCTCCTTCCACAGAGGCACTGCAGCATATGCACTCCTTTCTTCAGAGAAAGCGCAAGAATCTTCATGGAGAGACGCGCGTGGGGTCGGCCGGTTCCCCGCCCACCTCGGCTACTCCTGCGACCGGGCGGTGGCCTGCGCGGGGCGCCGGGGTCCCGAGCCCATGGTACGTCCCGGAGCCTCGCGACTCGTTCGCCGGGCTGGGGCTCCGCCGGGGGCGGCCCTCCCGGGGGGCCCCGGGCTCGGCCACGCCTCAGCGGGCTCCGCGCGACACTTTGGGACTTTCGGGAGGGCGGCCCCACTGCAGGCGGGAGCGCGGGCGCCGCGGCGCGGAGGACGTCACCGTCACCGCGGGTCGCGCCTCCTTCGGGTCCCGCGACCCCGGGCTCCGCTGCCTCGGGGTCCCCGCGGCGGGTGGCTGGGGGCGTGGCGCGCGGCGTGGGAATCCGGCGGAAGGGAGCGCCCGCAGGAAGGACTGCACCCGGGAGGCCGCCGAGCGTCAGAAGCGACTCGGGGGACTGGGGGGCGGGGGACGGGGAAGCGGGGTGTGGCATGGAGAGAGCTTCGGGCGCGGGCGGTGAAAAAGTGAGCCCAGGCGGTCGCTGGGTACTGATGTGGGGACCCGGACTCCTGGATTTCCTGGCTAGGGCTGTGACCTTGGGTAAGTCTTTTGCCACCTTGGCGACTCTCCATAAATCTGGACAGGGGAAAGGGTGTGAAATGGGGGGTTGGCATCTTCTGGTACTTTTGTCCCTGGCCTTCCAGGCTCCTGGACATGTTTACCATGGGCGCAAAAAGAGCCTTACCTGAACACCAGAGTTGGAAATGGGGGTACGTGAAGCAGAATCAGACAGCACCAGCGCTTCACTCTGGCGAGAGTATTCTGGTACCTCTGCCTCTGCCAGACTGCTTGGTTATCCTAGGAGAATCTGCTTGGTGTTAAAGGGCTCACATTTCTCTCCAACAACTGCTTTGCATCTCGTCCCTCACTTCCCAGAGTTTATCAATGTCCTTTTGGAAATGGGATGAGAGAAGAACTCAAATAGCGATGTCCATGTAACAGCATCCTCTATATGAAGTCCTGTATGAGGAACCTTCAAGGACATACATCTTTGAGAGCACAGACAAAGCCTGAATTCAGATTCCTCTTGGCTGTGTGCTCTTCAAGGCCTTAACTTCTTGGTGTTTCGGGGCTTTCATAGTTCATCTTTAATGACTAGGTAGCTCATGTACCCCTTGCTGTGGCTTAAGAACACACTAGTCATAAGTGCTATCATGTTAGCTGCCTCCTTTAGGGCTTTGGATCATCTTCACTTCCCAGCGAAAGCCGGTTTGCATACTAGTACCTGCACAACCCAGGTGATAAGAAATTCAGTGGCTCCCCAGGTAATTCGCTGCGCAAAACCAGTTAGAAAGTTTGGCCCTGACACTGAGTCAGAAACCATCTTGAACTCTTTCCATTCATCATCTCCAGGGCATCTAACACTACTTGACTTGTTTTTCCAGAAAGGAAGGAAGCCTAAATGGCTGTCTTTACTCTCTGTCTCTCTTTACCTCTAATAAGCTAACTAACTTCCACTGGTCTTCCTGTGTTTCCCAAAAGTTGAAATCAAGTTCCCTGGGACTTCCCTTTTCCTTTTAAAGATGGTAGAAGTCAGGGTGTGTGGAAGGGCTCTTGAGCCCCCTGTCACTGCCAGCTCCATGCCCTCAGCTCCTTTCACAAATCAGCTTCAGACAAGGCCATTTAGGGTGGTTCCAAGGCTCAAAGAAGATACTTCCCACCAAGTCCTGTCTTAGTCTCCTCAGTCGGTACCTTGAGCAGAGCTTTGTGGGCTTCAAGATCCTTGAAGATCTTGCTCAACTCCCTTCTCTCTCGTCACCAAGAAGGTTCTGAGGCCCCAAGTCAACAAACAGCCATGGCCTTCCTCTTTCCCATCTCTGCGGGAATTAGTAAGAAAATTGGCTCATCTGGGATTCTACCCATGGAGATTCCCCAAGGAGGGCAAGACAATTAGCCAGAGGAAAACATCTAAAAATAGCCCTTGGTGCTGTAGCAGAAGGCATAGAGTTTTCCGGTAGCGCCCTCCTGCTCTGGAACCCAAAGCCCAGAGCTCCTGCTTCACTTTGAGAGAAGCGGTGCTGCTCAATAAGGAGAAAATGAATCAATATGATGATACCTTGGTTCACAATGGAACTTGAGCAGAGTGAGACAGTCCATAGGTGAACACAAAACACACCTGAGCATACATCCGTGCTTATGCTGAGCCTCTCCGTCTACCTGGCAAGATTGTCACAGTTATTCAATGGGCTGAGACTTGTGAAAGTGTTTGAAAATTCTAATTATGTTTTGCAAGGTGAGGTGCCACTGTCAGCTTTTTTGGATTCTAGGTCTAATGTAAAGGCTCTATTATTGATAACAGGAAGCACTTAAGTGTGAATCTTCTCATTCCTCAATAAGCCTGTAGCCTCACCTGCCCCTCTCCAAACAGAAAACAGGGCAGGGAAGTCAACTCCATCACAGTTAGTATTCGGGCAACCTGCTCTCATGTTTACACTACCCTGTCCATGATTCTCAGGGCCAGATATGCTCATCCAAAAGAAAAAAAACTGAGGAATTGTATTCACACACTGTCGTGTTACCAAACCACCAAAAGTCCTTTTAAATTGGATAGCACAGAATATGTTAATGTGATTTTTCTTTTACTTCAGATTATGTTTCTTTCATTTTCTTTTTTTTTTTTCTGTTTTGGTTTTTCGAGACAGGGTTTCTCTGTATTGTTTGGAGGCTGTCCTGGAACTCGTTTTGTAGGCCAGGCAGGCCTCGAACTCACAGAGATCCACCCTCCTCTACCTCTGCTTCCCGAGTGCTGGGATTAAAGGCAAGTGCCACCAACACCCAGCATGTCTCATTAAAGTGGGCCCAAGGGGAGTCACTCACTGGAATTTTATGATTTGGGTTATTTTTAAAATGTCTTCTGGAAACCCCTCCACATATCACTGGCATCAGTGTCCACAGTTCAGCTTCCCTGAAGTATCATGTGCAGGACTTCAGCACATCACATTTCACTTTCCTGGTGATGCTATATAGAAAAAGAAAACAAAGACTACAGAAGCCAGGCAAGTGGTAGACTAGTTTGGACAAAGACTTTCAAATTTTGTTTCTGTGCGTGTCTAAGTCAAACTCAGAACTTTTGTAGCAATGACGCTTTTATTTTAAATATAATATACATAGTTGTCTTGATGAGTAAACATCAAGTTATATATTTTCTGTCTCTGATTGGGGCTTTTACAGTTTTTTGTGTTTTCTGTTTTCTAATCAAAGTGGTACCTAGGATCAATCCTAACACATAACTTAGCAACATGGTTTTACAATGAAATAATTTGGCACTATTTGGGGAAACAAGATCTTGCTATAAAACTCATGATCCTCCTACCTCAGGTCCCTGGTGTTAGTATTGGAAGTGCTCACAGACTGGCCTAGCAGTGTTTAATAAGAATTGAGTATTTTGATACATAAGTGAATTTGTTGAAAGTTTGAATACCGAATTTTCACTTTTTAAAAATGTCATTTACTTGTGTAAGGGAACAGTGCCATTTTCAAAAGGCACCTAATATAAGGTATTTTGGCACATATTAAGCACAGGTATGCAATTACTGAATTTATCTTCTTGGAACCCTACACTAGATCAGTAATAACCCATTAAAACTTTGTCAGGTCCCCATATTTTTACTGAGTATATAAATGACTATTAGAGAACAAATCTCCCCCTCCCAACAAATCAAGCAAGCATATGAGCCAAAGGATTGAGGATTAAAATCAGCATGGCACGCAAGAGTATGCATATTTTGTCATCTTTAGGGTTACAAACAATGATGCTACTTCATGTCTTAGAAGTCACTTCAAACCACAGTGTGACAGGCATCCATGCCAGTTTATTCAGACCAAGAGCAGTCCCCAGAAGTTAGCTACCTTTGTTTGATTTTCCTCTTCAAGCTTTTGAGGTTTGGCATGATTTTCAGCTTATGGAAAAGTTAAAACAGTGCAGGGTTTTTGTGCAATTAATTTATCTAACTTCTGTTAATATTCACCACTTCCCATTTGACTCAGAACATTAACATTGGCCCTTAATGATCCTGTAAAATAGAAACTTTATCAACTGTCACAGGGTTTCCTCTTACTGTCCATTTTTTTTTCTGTTTCAGGATTCAGCTGGGACCTGTGCTAATCCCCAAGTGGCTTCAGTCCCTCTTCTATCTTGCGACAGATCCTCAACCCTTTCTTGTCTTTCAAAATTTTGACATTCCATAAACATTGGTCAACTACATTTCGAAACACCTTGACAGTTTCTGATCATTAGTTAGTCTACAGTTACTCAGTCTGGAAAGACAGCCACAGATTGACAGTGTTACTATGACTACAACAATAAGTCACTATCAAGGGAATTCCTGCTGTCTATCAGTGATATTAACCTCGCCAAAGTAAATAATGCAGTGTCTGTTAGGTTTTTACATTATAAAGGTCTATTTTGAAATTTATCTTGAGGAATTCTGCTATACCAATGTCCTGTTATTTCAAGTCTCACCTGCCACTTTCAACATTTGAGGGCAGTTCCTGTTTGTGACTGTTGTTACTGCACTGTGTACCTAACGGAGAGTTCAAATACCCTTGATTTCTTCTATAAATTGGCAATTATGTTGAAAGATTATGCCTTCTCCCAACTTACTGTTTTATTCAGTTATTCAAGAAGGGTTTTCTTATGGGTGGTATTTCCCTGTCTTTGTCCTGTGGCTGAGGTAGTTTAGCATCAGGGGTGCTTTGATTGGATCATGTGGCCTTTGGGCAGTTTCTGCTTTTAAATCAATCACTTCCTTAATTTTCTGCCACCATAGGTTGCACTGATTTATTTCTTGTTTTTTAACTTCTGTTTATCTTGCCCTGGCCCTAGAATCAGCTAATTTCCCAGTGAATTCTCGTTCTTTATATCAGTGTATCTAAGAGGCTAAATCTGGATGCTGGAGGCAGAGTGGTTTTTTGTTTTGTTTTTGTTTTTTGTTTTGTTTTGTTTTTGGCTGGGGCATTAACTGCTACTAGACTTGCTAGAGAGTTAGAAATCAATACTTATGTGAAAACTGTATAACACATACATCATTTATTTCTGTTTTCTTTATCAAAGAGAGACATGGGCAGATCTACCCAAGGTATGTTACACACAAAGATTGAAATGAAGATGGCCAACACCGGGATCCCTGTATTTTGGGGCCCATAAAGATGGGCCCCCTTCATCCTGCCTCAAGGTCATAGAGTTCAAAACTGTCCTAACTAAGTCAAAAGTCCTAAAGGTCTAAGGCTTGACTACTGCAACATGTTCTGGGCTCAGGTGTGTTTACTCATGACCTTGAAAGCCAGATCATAGGTGTGGCTACCAAATGCCTGGAGGATTAAGGGAAGTAAGTCTGTTTGCTTCTTATACATGATAATAGTGCCCCCCCTTTTGGTTGGGTACTTAAGAATTTGAAGAATAAACTAGTTGTCCTCCTTGCCTTTCATTATTTATATTCTATTTATCCAGTCTTAGTACACACCTGAAGTAGCTCCAGAATCCCTAACCAGTACTCTGATGAGAAGCAAACTTGCTATTGTGGTCCCATTTTGTGCAGTTTTGTCACTGGCTTTGCAGAACTCTACCGAAACATTACTTTCCTAAGTTTTGAAACAAAAACTCTCTGTGTTTTTTCCTCCTCTTCAGTGATGGTGTTATTCACTTGTAACTTAGGTTTATTTATGATTTACATTCCATACTTGGTGGTTTTAATTATTTTATTAAAATTAATGAGCTTCATTTATTTAACACTCAAAACATTATTTGGGTGCAAAGTTTAAGTTTTATAAAAATATATGCCTCTCCCCTTTTGTTTTTTCTGACTAGTTTCCCACCACTGCTTTCCATTCCTCTCCTGAAAACACGCTAAACACGCTTTCCATGCAACACTGCTATCAAGCCCCCTTTGCCTTCCCATAAGGATACAAGACTTTTGTGGTAGCAGACATTGATATGAGTCAGGCTGAAGATTTGTTGAAAATGTCGTAATCTGGTGAATGAATAGACTATCCCCCTTTTTTAAAGTGTTGCTTTATATGCCAGAATGTGCACAAATGCACACATACATGCATCTTGGGCAAAACACAAGTTAAAATCAGGAGATCACTCTGAGCTAGCAGGAAAGAGCTTTGTGTGGGGGAAATCTCAAGGCCATTTCTCCAGTGTGTGTCCCTCTCTCTTCTTTCTTTCCTCCCACAAGCATGCAAACAGCTTAGTGAGGGATCTGCATGTACTGTCTCTATATTAGCAATTTCTGTTCTTTCCTTAACTTGTTGAATGATGCCTTTTGCCCACACAATCCCGCCTAAGTTCTTTTATGTAAAGTCACCATAAACTAAGCTATTCCAGATTCTAGTGACACATATTTATCTTAAAGATACTGAAAGTTACCAGTCCCAACCATTTTCATTAAACTCTTCCTCTTTCCTTTCAGAAACTATTTTCATCTTGGTTTACTTTTTGTCTCTCTATTAATAATGGTGTTCTCTCCAACCATCCTGCATCCATCACTATTTTCCAAGGTTGCCTCCTGGAATCCTTTTATTCTCATTACAATTTCTTTGACCTCTGATTATTTTGCTTTATTTTCTTTTATCAATACAGAAATTTAACTCCCCTGATACTCTAGTTTATTATTTAGTTTCATGATCATGTTGATATATGATTTCATAAGTTATTCTGCTTGCCTAACATATTGCCTTAGTTCTTAGAGTGAATGCATATGCAACCTTGAAAAGGAGCCCAACATCGACTCCCTGTTCCAGAAACCTCCCCTGCCTAGGTTGCATGCTTCTTTGTGAGGAATCAGCTCTACATATTTCTCAGTACACAACTGTCACTCGATAACCCCAATATGTATTTTTTTCCTTTAGGGCTATCTCACAATTAAGGAGCCAAAGTACCAATTAGATGTCAACCTAAATAATTCTTCAAACTAATGTGCTGTTGCAACTATGAAAGATAAATAAAAAGAGAAATGCTTGGTTCTAAAGTTCCTAAAGAGGGGTGAAAGTGAACCTGGGAAAATCTTAGACTCATTTCAGTTAACATCACTTGTATCATTGGGTATATAGTTTTAGGTACATTTCCTTACCTCAAATGAACAAAGGTACATGCATCAACAAGGTTGAGTTAAGTACATACTCCATATGAAGATAAGGCCTTAATCAAATTGATCCAAATTTCACATTTCAATTAGATACAAAAGCAATCAGAATGGCTTATCTTTAATGAGAAGCTAAGGAGACGTGGCTCAGTAGATAAGGTGTTTGTCTTTCGAGTATGAGGACTTGATCTCATATCTCCATCATCCATATAAAAAGACAGGTTTGACAGCACATGTCAATCCCAAAAGTAGAGAAGCAGAGATAGGATCTCAGAGCTCACTGTCCAGCCAGTCTAAATAAAACATAAGAGAAAGCCCTGGATTCAATGACAGCTCACGAATCAAAAAAAAAAGTAGAGTTATTAAGGAAGATAATCAAAGACGACCTCTGACCTCTATAAGCACACAAACACATGATCCCATATAGAGGTACACTCACACAAGTCCACAAACAAACATGAAAATACATCCTTAACCATATTTATGACAAGCTAGCATTTCTGTTATGAACAAAAACAACATGTGTTCTTTCCCGAAAATCAGTGGCATGGCACACCTACCAGATGGCTCTGAGTGTAGTGATTACAATAAAGGGAGTTTTCAAAGGAGCAAAGAGAAGCTCACACTTCGAGAAGAGCAGCCCTCTCAGCCCTTAAATTGACTCATCCAGCACAGAGGTCGTGAAGACCAACAGTTGGAAACAATGGAGAGGTGTCTGCAGCACGAGTCTGAAAGGTCTAATGCTCCCAGACAGGCAGCGGCTCATTTCTGACTTGATAGGTTAATTATCGTAGAATGAAAACGGAAGGCGGGAAAGATTGGGTTTCTCTAGTCTCATGCAGGTGCACACTTGTTACCACAAAATGAGGTGACACAAAGGTCAATAGGCTAACGCTTCCAGTATGTAGCATTATGAAGCTATCTTCAGCATCTTTGGTTTGCACAAATAAGCAGTTTGGATGTAAATGCTATTTTCACTTGGGTATCTGTGCTCCCTTTGAACCACATCTGCTTTCTTGCTGGAGCTTTGGATAAAGCTGGACCTAGGCTTGCTCCTCAGCTCTGACACTTAGAAATCAGGCTTCAGTGTGTGACACTGTGGAATGCTGTGGGTTTTAATGACACAACTGCTAGCAGAGTCAGACAAAATAGAATCCCACAGCATAATGCCTGCCAGATAGTAGATGCTCAGGAAACATCAGTGGGGTTTCGGGGCTTGTGACAAAGTTTCCTAACTTCTTTGAGCATTATTACACTCTTTCACAGAATGAAGGGAAGACCTTGGTATGCAGGTTGATACAGGTGAAAAACAATATAACTTATGCCTACTCGCTCACTAGTGTAATCCCAAGAGGCTGACACAGAAGATCACCATAAGTTTCAGCCCAGGGTGATCAATAAATATCACAAGTCCTCAGCAAGCCTAGGTGACAGAGTGACACCCCTCCTCAAACACAAAAGGGGAGGCAGAGTTCAGTTTCTTCTTTTTCATCTCCAAAGATTTGCTTAACAGTGACTAGTCTATTTTTAAGAGAGATTTTTTAGGTCAGAATTTTATATGACCTAGGAATTCTACTGTTGTAAATTTTTGCTCTTTTAGTGTATTTCCCCATTTTTCTACAGCAGACCTCACTCGATCACTCACACCTAGGGGAGATGGAAGCCCTTTCTGCCTCAGAGGTAGCCTGAGCCATCGGGCCTGGTTTGAAGAATGTGCTTTTGTTTCTTAGTTTTCAACTTCAGTTTTTACCTAGACATTCAACAGTAGCCTCTTCCTGGTTTAGCATGTACCAAGATGACATGACTCTGTTACCTTTTTATTAATCTTAATAGATTCCATCGTCAAAACACCAGTGTAGAAGATAAGCAAACAGTGTGAACCAAGATTTAAAGTGTGTGCTGAGTATACACACACCTGGAGAAATACTGAGATTGAATATGTGAAAGTCTCCCAGTGGGTATTTCTCTATTTGGTGCTTCTTGTTGACTGGTGGGAAGCTTGCAAGTATCCCTGTTCAGAACATGTGCTCTGGACTTGGATGTCAAAGCTTGGTGGTATGAGTCTGTGCCATGCAAGTCACCATCATGTCTAGCCCTCAGTGGTTCAGTATATGCTCAACAGAAGTACATGAAGTACAATACCTATAGAATGCTTAAGAACCTCGGGGGGTTTTTTATCACTAATCCTTTACTAGCACTTCCCTAACATCAAATTAACAGGAAAGAAATATTTCATTAAGGAACAGCACCATCATGTTTGCACTCGAATAATTCAAAATTGTCAGACTAGAGTGTAGGTCTTTGGCAGAGTACTTGCCTAGCTTGTAAGGTTCTGGGTTTAATCCCCAAGTGCTAAAAAGAAAGACAAACAGCATTCAGAAGTTAAGTCTTGGAGTAATACTATCTAGCCCATCCAAAACCACTTCCTCCATGGCCCAAGCTGAGTGCTTCATCCTTGGTCTCTTGTGAGAGCCAGGAAATGTTTGTAAACATGTAATTACTATTTGATAATTCTGAAGTCAAATGGAGAAGTTTTCAAAAAGTCAGAAACTATGAATTAGGTGAACTTTCTCGATCCCCGAAGAGACGTTGAAGGATTGAAATCTTCTTGGAATCAAATATAAGAATATCACTAGGTGGCTACAAAATGTAAGAAAACTGTACCTAAGAATGTCACTAAGGTGGCTATGAAATGTATGAAAAATATCCCAACATATGGCTTAATTATATGTGCCTGCCTCTGCTACCAACGTCCCAAGTGCTATTTTTAAGATTTAAAATGAGATGTACTTTTATTTCTGAGAACCAATACTAATTCTTACACACATGGGGAAAATGGAAACTCCATACACTCTGCAGACAATCTAACAGAGGAACACTGACGTAGGTCCAGCAGGCTGTCTATTTCTAAAACCAGTGCTCACAGACTTAGAGCGAACAGCCACCACACATAAAATCAACACCATCACTGCTCAACTAACAGTCTCCACTTCTTCTGAATGAAACTGTCTTGATCTTGTCTTCGGCTGTCGTCAGTAAAAGAATGTGAACAAAAAAAATTGAATGGTGGTTTCGTCTGGTTCATTTTCCTTTCAAGAATCTATTCCTTGGTTTTCAAAGAGAAGTCATTTGGGGACAACAAAGTCTGGCCGTGTTTATGTGGTAGGACTCTCAAGCTGCAAACGCGGGCTGAAATTGCCTTCTCTCGCCCTATTTCTCCCACACACCTTTCTTGGGAAAGGAATGAAAGATGCAAATATCTACTTTCCAAAGCAGTTCATCTGAAATCCTTTTCTTCCTCAAAGGAGAGAGAGAGAGCGTCGCAATCTTCGTAATTGTGTGGGGAAAGAATTTTGTGCTCAGAAATACAAACCAATTTAAAAATATTATTTCACTGACTTCTTCAAAAACCCATATATACAAGCAACACTGAATGGACTGAGCATGTCATGTTTATGTATTTAAGACTGTGTGTGTGTGTGTGTGTGTGTGTGTGTGTGTGTATGAGAGAGACAGAAAGAAAGAGAGAGAGAGAAACAATTAAAAAAGAAGATAATACTTTGGGATCAATTGAGGAAATACATGTGAGGAATTGGGGGAGGAAATGATATAATTATATTTTCATTTATAGTAAAATTATTTTAAAGTGTACAATGCTTCTTTAGAGTATTCTCAACATTCCCAATGCTCCAACCTTTAATACAGTTCCTCATATTATGCTTATCCCCAAATCATAAAATTCTTTTCCTTGCTACTTCTCAACTGTCGTTTTGCCAGTGTTATGAATTGTAAAGTAAATATCTGATATGCAGAGTATCTGATATCCGACCCCTGTAAAAGGGTCAGGTGACCCTACAAAGGGGTCGTGACCCACAGGTTGAGAACAGGTGCTTTAGAGGCTGAGGTCAAATTTCTAACATTTAACACTCCACTTTCAATGCACAGCCCATGCATGCCTAAATCTCTGGCTGTAACTTGTATAGCATGCTTTCACATACGTAGGAATTTTTGTTTGTTAAAAGTAATATATAAGTATATAAAATGTTAGAAAATTATTATACTGAGAACTGTACCAATAACCAGACCTACTAATGCTTCTGCAGCAAAATATCTATCTACATCGTCTTCTAAGATGAATAAACTTGTCATCGTGCCCCCTGGGTAAGTTTGTTATAAACCTAAGGGGGTAGAGATGGCAGTCAGGGCTTCTTGGATCTAGAAATTACTGTTAAATCCCGTAAGTCTTCTTACTTTATCTGGACAGGAACTTCTGGACTTCGGGGCATTTGTTTACATTCTTTCCTAGCCAAGAATATGACTAAGAATCTTCTATGTCAATTCTAGCTTATTAAATTCTGTCATGGGCCAGCCAAAATGTCAACTCTTTATTTGTACAAAGCTTCATGACAAATGTTTGGTGTGAGTGTCTTTCCCTCATGACTAGAAACTGCTGAAGACAGCACTGTGTTTGGTTAGCATTTACACCTGGGGCTCCCGGATGTGAGTTTTCCTAAATGGAGTCAATGAATGGAATGATAAAAGCCAGCTCCAGGAAGTCGCTTGTGGCCACAAACTTGTCCATGTGTCCACTATTCTCTCCACACTGTTGATAAATGTGGATGGGCTGGAGGTTTTTGAAAACTACTTTTATTAAAAATCTATCTTTTGTGGTCAAGTACTTCAAGAATTTTGCAGTGTTCTTACTGGACTTCCCTCCATTTCAGCACTGAGCAGGCCTGAAAGAAACCAGTTTCTGGTTAGCCCCACACTAAGAAATCGTGAGTTAGACCATAACTGTCTCGTACTACACAGTTATTTTTCTAGGTCTTTGATCATGCGTGTATCACTTCCAGGAGCATTAATTAAGCTATTCAGTGAATTAGAATTGTGCCATCCTATCTCATAACTTTGGAAGTTCCATGAAGCATGTGGAACTAGAGATCACTCATCTGTCATACCTAGTTACAGCTTAATAACTCATCGAATAAGTGTAGACACATATATTCCAACCTTCAAAAGTATTTAAAGAAAGGACAGAATAGAGACATCTAGTGTCCCCAAATGAAACTGTGGCACAAACCTTCACGATTTTGCTTCTAGAATCATGTTAATTCCTTACATAATTCTGTTTACTTTATGCTACACAGCTGTGTCACCGCACTCAGCAGTTTAAGCAGGCATTGATAGACTGCAGTCTACAGACCAAGTGCCCAACTGCCTAGAGTTAGTTTCCTGGGAACATCTCTCATGGCCCTTATTGCCTGGATCTGTGACAGATTTCGACTATAACTGTTTAGCTGAGTAACTTAAACTCTCTGGTCTACAAAGCCTGAGGCACTTAGGATCTGACCTTCAAGGGTCGGTTTGCTCATTACTGATCTAGAAACTAAAGACAATAGATCAAAGCAGGAAAGAACAAATTATAACAACCAATTAAAAAACTTACACACTCAAATAGTGGTGTCATGGGTGGGCAAACAGTAGCAAGTACCTTAACTCGTCATTAATATTTTGTTTTTCTTCTTTTTTATTTTTTTCCCTCTGAGACAGGATTTCTTTGTGTAGCACTGGCTGTTCTAGAACTTGCTCTGTAGAATAGGCTAGTCTCAAACTCACAGAAATATGCCTGCCTCTGCCTCCTGGGTGCTGGGATTAAAGTCAAGCACTATCACCACCCAACAGGGACTATGTATTTTCATAGTACAATTTAACTATGTAAATTCATTAAAGGATATATATATGTATTATATATATATCCTTATCTTGCAAAGCTGAGTTCACGCTGCATTATAAAACATTTGTAAGAGACTTTTGCTTTTGTTATTCTTGTTTATCAGAACCCTTATACTGAAAGCAGTAGATTTTATATCTAGAGCTGTTGCTCATATAAATCTTTTTTTTCTTGAACAGTGTGTTACATATAAAGGAAAGTTCTTCAGGGCTGGCTGGGAAGGAGGCTCAGTGGGTCAAGTGCTTGCTACACAAGCCTAATACCTGAATTTACATCTCCGGCGCCTATGTAAGAGCTAAGTATGTTATGCTCCTGTAAGCCCGGGGCTTGGGAGTTAGAAATCATTATTCTGGGAGCTCACTGGCCAGCCAGATCATCTGAAATGACAAGTTCTATATTCACCAAGAGACCCTGTCTCAAAAATAAAAGAGTTTGTACAATACCAGAAATCAACCCTTGGTGTCTAGTAGGGTCAAGTACACAGGACACAGAGCTGGGCATATACAGATGTCTCTCTCTCTCTCCCTCTCTCTCTCTCTCTCTCTCTTTCTCTCTCTCTCTCTCTTTCTCTTTCTCTCTCTCTCTCTCTCTCTCTCTCACACACACACACACGTTAACAATAAGTGTAAAGAGTGGAATGTTCTCCAAAAACAATATAAAGACATGTGAAGCTCTATAGTATAGGTTTTTTGCAGAGCTGGTTAGAGACCCAGACTTGTTGCACCCACACTTTAGCTAATCACTTGCCATCAGGGGACACTAATAGGCCTCTAGTCCCCTTTGGCTCAGGGATCAGTTCGTCTAGATAGGAGTAAAACATCTGTTTTTGGGATAGTGGCTGCAGTTACATATCTCCAATCTCCGATGATCTTATTCCTGAAGGGGGCTCAAGGGAAAGTCATAGACACATAATGAGATCACATGAGGAGAGCCTGAAACATCACGGACAGAAATAGTCTCACTGGTAAACTGAGCCATGCCTAAGAGAACTTCATCCTATTCCCCAACCCAAGGGGATCCCCATGGTGGTTGGTATGCTGGCAGTAAGTACTCATCTCCAGTGTTGAATTACGCAGAATTCCTGTGTCAAATACAGTTGCCTAAGAAATCAAGTACCCTGGAATCTTGATGGTGTTGACACTAATCTCACACTTGCACTCAGGTCCTCACACCTGACTGGGTATACATTCAATTACTAGGATAAGTGTATCAATTGATTGTAACACATTTTCCAGCTCTGACTCCAGGAGACATTTCTTCTGTGAACCCATGTAAATAGACAGCGAGCATCATAAAGAACACCCTTTAACTGTGATGTTTGATCTAGTGAAAGCTGTCTAAGAGGACTTGCGGGAAGTGGGCAGGTCAAGATACCCAGATTCCAGCTCAACTTCCACGATATTCTAAACTCATGGTGTGCTAGCTGCATGTTTCAACTTCCTGACCACTTTAGTTTCCATGAACTGCACTGTAATGCTTTGTGGAGTACATGCTGGCCATTAATGATGACAGTAGGACAGGAATGGACTCTCCCAGTGTGCACGGTCCCTGTGCTCTCTGACATTTCTACCTGTCCCTTGAAGCATCTCACAGTGAGTGTTTTCTTGAGCCTAGTCACAGGAGGGAATCCCTAGTCACACCACCCTGAGTTTCTTTATAACATTTCTGCCCCTCTGGTAAACCCCAATCTCTCTCTTCCCATCAATTACATCTACTTATTTGAGGGGAAGTTGTCTGTAGTCATTTTTTGTACTTTGTAATGGGATAAAATCCTTACAAGGAATGTTAGAGTCAATTAACTTTGATACTTATACAAATTTAGATTACACTGAGGGAATTGGCCACATAGAAATGAAGATGGATTCTGAACAGCCTTTCTGAATGTAAAACTGGATCCAAAGGTAATAGTAAACATTCTATATCCAGTGATTTCTTCAAAATACTTGATCCAAAATCTCTTCTGAGACTCAAGGCAATCTCCTAATAATAATGTCTTATAAGACAAAAAGCAAATTGCATACATCCAACCAGCAGTGACACACTATATATATTCCAAATATATCTATCTATCTATAGATATAGATATATAGCAAAAAAATAGCAAGCTGGGGTATACTGAGGAAATACTGAACCCAAAACCAAAATTCAGTAGGTCAAAGGTCAAATCCTATAGTTCAGCGTCTGCTGTCAAAGACTTAACTTTGCTACCTGCAGCATACATGTCTCTCCTGGGTCATTTCCACTCCCTTTGCAAACATCCCACTGCTCTGCCATCTTCAACTTCTTGGGGTTTCACTTACACATGCAATTGCTCCATGCAATTGCTTT